AAAAAAAAAAAAAAAAAAAAAAAAAAAAAAAAAAAGATTACAGCGAACCTGACAACCTACTCCAGTCCGCACCGACCTGAAAATTCAGATATAACCCAAGATCACACTCATTTTTTTTTTTTTTTTTTTTTTTTTTTTTTTTTTTTTGACTAAGTAGATTCTACAGACTGCCGACGGCTCATCCTCCTGATGAGCTCTCGATATGGTTTCTAGGCGCTGTTCCCTGTCCGCGCCCAGGACTCGACCCTGGGTCTTATGCTCAATAGTGCACTGGCACCCGGGAAGATGTAGAATGCATCAGGGCCTGCTGACACCAGGACTTTAGGGGATGCATCTGACCGTTTTTTAAGCCAACCCTGGGTGCATCTGGCACAATTACGTCCAGACTCCAGAGCCGAATCAAAAAAGTTCTAGTGGATGCTGGACCCGGTTTCCAGCAGGTTGATGGTAAAAAAAAAAAAAAAAAAAAAAAGTTCTAGTGTGAGTATGCTCTCAGTATGATGTGTAGTCTTTGTTAAGTGTGCCCGGTGAAGACATTTGCGTCTTATGCTCAAGTAGTGCACTGGGCACGGAAGTTTTCGAATATACCCCTGGAAGTTCATGCCGAATTTCTACCCTGAGGGAAACCATGTCTTGCCGTGTGGTCCCGCTAAGCAAAAAGAGGACGGGAACTGAACCCACAGAGGGTCTTAGAAAATGGCTGGGGAACGTACTGGTAGAGTTCAAGTGTCTGAATCTGGATATGTTTCATGCAGATATGCAGAAAACAATTCAATGGCGATTTCTGGCACCTCTCCACAATCACGTCCCGACTCAGCCGCTTAGTCCAATCCTCTTTGCTACCATCTTCCCCCGAACACAACGCACCCTTATTTAGGCTGTATCTGGCCGGAAATATAGCTTGTATACATTCGTTTTTAGGGTGCGTTATGTTCGGGGGAAGACGGTAGTGGGACTTCGCCCCTGCTGTAAAGCCTGGTCGGTGAGCATTGGTACCACGCTCACATTAAGGTGGAAGGCCTTTCACAGCCCTGTCGCTACCGTTTTCACCCGAAGAGAGCGCCCAGTCCTTGTAGCTGTATTTGGTGCAACTTCCAGGCTAGATACAGCAATAATCACCTGGCGTTCTCTCTGGCTGAAGACGCCTTCCAACATGCGCCCTGGAGGCCAGCCTTAGGGCCGCAGGTTTCGATTCGAGGCAGCATTCAT